AAAAGACAGGTGTTTTTAAGAGACGAGAAGTGTCCTCCAAGAGACAAAATAGGTTGCCAAGTCATATATTTCCAAGAGAGGAGAAGGTTTCAGATGGTTTTTAGCGGCAGACAAATGGATTTCAAACGACAGGTGTTTTTAAGAGACGAGTGGTGTCCTCCAAGAGACAAAATAGGTTGCCAAGTCATATATTTCCAAGAGAGGAGAAGGTTTCAGATGGTTTTTAGCGGCAGACAAATGGATTTCAAACGACAGGTGTTTTTTAAGAGACGAGTGGTGTCCTCCAAGAGACAAAATAGGTTGCCAAGTCATATATTTCCAAGAGAGGAAGAGATGGTTTCAGATGGTTTCAGATGGTTTTTAGCGGCAGACAAATGGATTTCAAACGACAGGTGTTTTTAAGAGACGAGTAGTGTACTCCAAGAGACAAAATAGGTTGCCAAGTCATATATTTCCAAGAGAGGAGAAGGTTTCAGATGGTTTTTAGCGGCAGACAAATGGATTTCAAACGACAGGTGTTTTTAAGAGACGAGTAGTGTCCTCCAAGAGACAAAATAGGTTGCCAAGTCATATATTTCCAAGAGAGGAGGTTTCAGATGGTTTTTTAGCGGCAGACAAATGGATTTCAAACGACAGGTGTTTTTAAGAGACGACGAGTGGTGTCTCCAAGAGACAAAATAGGTTGCCAAGTCATATATTTCCAAGAGAGGAGAAGGTTTCAGATGGTTTTAGCGGCAGACAAATGGATTTCAAAAGACAGGTGTTTTTAAGAGACGAGTGGTGTCCTCCAAGAGACAAAATAGGTTGCCAAGTCATATATTTCCAAGAGAGGAGGTTTCAGATGGTTTTTAGCGGCAGACAAATGGATTTCAAACGACAGGTGTTTTTAAGAGACGAGTAGTGTCCTCCAAGAGACAAAATAGGTTGCCAAGTCATATATTTCCAGAGAGGAGAAGGTTTCATGGTTTTTAGCGGCAGACAAATGGATTTCAAAAGACAGGTGTTTTTAAGAGACGAGTAGTGTCCTCCAAGAGACAAAATAGGTTGCCAAGTCATATATTTCCAAGAGAGGACCCGGTTTCAGATGGTTTTTAGCGGCAGACAAATGGATTTCAAAAGACAGGTGTTTTAAGAGACGAGTGGTGTCCTCCAAGAGACAAAATAGGTTGCCAAGTCATATATTTCCAAGAGAGGAGAAGGTTTCAGATGGTTTTTTAGCGGCAGACAAATGGATTTCAAAAGACAGGTGTTTTTTAAGAGACGAGTGGTGTCCTCCAAGAGACAAAATAGGTTGCCAAGTCATATATTTCCAAGAGAGGACCCGGTTTCAGATGGTTTTAGCGGCAGAAATGGATTTCAAACGACAGGTGTTTTTAAGAGACGAGTAGTGTCCTCCAAGAGACAAAATAGGTTGCCAAGTCATATATTTCCAAGAGAGAGGAGAAGTTTCAGATGGTTTTTTGGTGGTTTTTAGCGGCAGACAAATGGATTTCAAACGACAGGTGTTTTTAAAGACGAGTGGTGTCCTCCAAGAGACAAAATAGGTTGCCAAGTCATATATTTCCAAGAGAGGAGCCGGTTTCAGATGGTTTTTAGCGGCAGACAAATGGATTTCAAAAGACAGGTGTTTTTAAGAGACGAGTAGTGTCCTCCAAGAGACAAAATAGGTTGCCAAGTCATATATTTTCCAAGAGAGGAGCCGGTTTCAGATGGTTTTAGCGGCAGACAAATGGATTTCAAAAAGACAGGTGTTTTTTAAGAGACGAGTGGTGTCCTCCAAGAGACAAAATAGGTTGCCAAGTCATATATTTCCAAGAGAGGAGAAGGTTTCAGATGGTTTTTAGCGCAGACAAATGGATTTCAAACGACAGGTGTTTTTAAGAGACGAGTAGTGTACTCCAAGAGACAAAATAGGTTGCCAAGTCATATATTTCCAAGAGAGGAGCCGGTTTCAGATGGTTTTTAGCGGCAGACAAATGGATTTCAAACGACAGGTGTTTTTAAGAGACGAGTGGTGTCCTCCAAGAGACAAAATAGGTTGCCAAGTCATATATTTCCAAGAGAGGACCCGGTTTCAGATGGTTTTTAGCGGCAGACAAATGGATTTCAAAAGACAGGTGTTTTTAAGAGACGAGTAGTGTCCTCCAAGAGACAAAATAGGTTGCCAAGTCATATATTTCCAAGAGAGGAAGGTTTATGGTTTCAGATGGTTTTTAGCGGCAGACAAAATGGATTTCAAAGACAGGTGTTTTTAAGAGACGAGTAGTGTCCTCCAAGAGACAAAATAGGTTGCCAAGTCATATATTTCCAAGAGAGGAGAAGGTTTCAGATGGTTTTTAGCGGCAGACAAATGGATTTCAAACGACAGGTGTTTTAAGAGAGAGTACAAGAGACAAAATAGGTTGCCAAGACAAGAGAGGTCAGATGTTTTTAATGGATTTCCATATCCAAGAGACAAAATAGGTTGCCCAAGTCATATATTTCCAAGAGAGGAGAAGGTTTCAGATGGTTTTCAGCGGCATTCAGTCCCGAGATCTCAGCACTTGGGGCGGCTTGTCGACGAGAACCTCTCTGGGTACAGGATCTTGTTCTGTCTCGTGGGAAGGCTTGCCCAGAACGCCCGCACCTTCGGATAGATAAGTTATCATTAGTATCGATCTGGGTTGATCATTGGTTTACTCCGGGATGCAATTAGATCTGAATTTCATAAGGAATTAATGAAGCTTCCATTGCGAGAGGGTTTATTTAGCTTTCAGAGGGAATTCATTTAGCTTTCATGAGAGGTGTATTTGGCTTCCATTATATATGTGTGTGGTTTTTAAAAAGAGTGTGTTAACTTTTTTAAGAGAGGTATTATTTTTAATTTTGGAATGTATGCAACTTTCAGAAATTGTTCATTTTTGATTTTACCAAACACGATTACCACTGGAATTAATAGTAATCGTGTATTGTGTTGTGGAAAAAGGGATGGAAATTTGAGAATATCTTAGATTGCGATTTTTTAAAAATTTGTTTGACTAGTATTGATATTACTGCCCCCCCCCCACCACCACCACCACACACACCAACCTTCTCTCTCACTCTCTCTCTCTCTCTCTCTCTCTCTCTCTCTCTCTCTCTCTCTCTCTCTCTCTCTCTCTCTCTCTCTCTCTCTCTCTCTCTCTCCCTCCCTCTTCCCTCCTGCCGATCCTCCCCATTCGCTACATATATCCTTCCTTATCTCAATCTTTCACTTCATCTCCTCCCCCCCTTTCTCTTTTCTCTCCCCGCCCCACCCTCTCTCCACTCCATCCCTCCCCTTCTCTTTCTCTCCCTCCGCCCTCCTTCCCTCCCCTCTTTCCCTCCCTCCAAGCCACCTCCGCGCATCCTCCTGCTCACCCTTCTTCTTCGTGATGTAGACATATAGATGGAACCTCAATTGTTTTCTTCCCTCATTATCCTCCCTCTCTCCTTCCTTTCTTCCTTTCCTCGCAATTCTTCCTCCCTCTCTCTCTCTCTCTCCCTCCCAATCCTTCTTCACTCCGCCCCTCCTTTCCCTCTCTCCCCCTAATCCTTCCTCACTCCGCCCTCCTCCCCTCCCTCCCTCTCTCTCTCTCTCTCCCTCCCAATCCTTCACTCCGCCCTCCTCCTTTCCCTCTCTCCCCCTAATCCTTCCTCACTCCGCCCTCCTCCCCTCCCCTCCCTCTCTCTCTCTCCCTACCCCCATTTCCCCCCTTCCCCCTTCCTCCCTCCTCTTGATCATCTCCCTCTATTCATGCGCAGCTGTTCTCTTCAATTCAATCACAAACACGAAATTGACTATCAGTGCCAAGTCTTTGATGAAGCCGGTGCACCATTTACAAGTGAAGAATTTCTTGCAGCTTTTCCGTCTAGCAAAGCCACTAGATGGAATCACTAATAACTAATACCCGACTTCTTGCAAAAGTACAGACACTGGGAAGAAATCCTCCTTTTGCTCTCTTCAACTTCACCTGTATGTCTAGCGTCTTGCAACCATCAGAGGTTCAGCAAAAAGTGAGCAACCCTTGGTCTCATGAACCACTCCATCAAAACCAAGCATATTTCCAGACTTCGTAAACTACCTTGTATTCCAAGGTTAGGTGGACAAAATATTGCAAGAACGAACAGCTATGAATATCTTTGTGTTGTGGTGATTGCTCTCCACATGTCCCGCAATTTTCGCTTTACCAGGGATATTGTTCAAGCCACTAAGGAACGTTGCCTTGAGTGTTTAAGACCACTGAACAACCCAGTTCACGAATTTCCACTAATTTATCAAATGGGATCAATTATAGTTAAGCATGCCCGCCCTCGATACTAATTTAATACAGTCCAACTTAGAATGGAAAGTCCAAACTGCTCATACTATTCTATTCTTCAGTGTATGGAATTTTAAAGCCCTTAACATTCCCGGAACAATACTTACTGCTCCTTGGTACAGAACTCATGTATGTGCTCATACTGACAAAGAGGGACTCCACCTCAAGAACTTCGAGAACAGAGCTCATTAACTGACATTCTCCGCCTCCCTCATGGCACTCCCCCCCCCCCCTCCACTTACAATCTACTGTGACGCCTCCACTGATCCTCATGGGAGAGCAGGGGTTGTACTAATTCCTGATATAGATCTTGAAGAAAGTGTGTGCATCTCCAACTGGGCAAACATAACTGATGCTAAGTCAGCAGCTATAAGCCATGCATCTCAAAGTGGTAGTGAACATCTGTCTTTACTAAAAGCCAGGGTGTGCTCCATTGGCTCACGGTATATAATCCAGCAAGAATGATAACAAGAAATATCCTTCACCAAAGTTCTAGACTGTCAATTCAGGGTGTTCAAGTGTCACGATACTGGACACCCTCTCAAATAGGAGTATCATGATTTGACAGGGTTGACCAATTGGCAGAAATGGCACTTTCCCATGTGAACCATATGATGCAGTGCGGCCACCTCTCAATCAAATAAAAACTAGTGTTATCAGCTGTCTTCGAGATAACGAGGGTCAGGTATGGTCCACCGAAAAGATGAAGAAAAACAGACATGGTACTATTTGGGACATCAGACATAGGCAGACCCTAAAAGGTCAGTATCAGACTGTCCCGGAGCTAGCAGGTTGCAATGACTAGGGTACGCTTAAGATATCAGTGCACTATGTACAGGATGCAGTTTTGGAGGCAAAGCTAGTTTCATATCTCCATTGCAAACTACAACGTGTCCAAGTCGTATAATCGTACCCATTACTTACTTTGTTGCACGAAAACTGCAATCTATCGATCATACAGTACTGACCACAGATTATCACTTATTGATTATATCAACTTCTTGTAGACATTGCTCTTGTCTTTGAAATTAGTGATATGTTTTTTTTTTTTTTTTTTTTTTTTTTTTTTTTTTTTTTTTTTTTTTTTAACAACCAGATGATATTTCAAAAATTCAATGACACTGACATTGACCTTCAAACATGCATATAATGCTAATGTTTGACTGATAGCCCTTTACACAAAGAGAAGCACAGGCAGTTTGGATAATTGCTTTGATATCTTACGCTGGCTATTTACAGGGCATGTACACGGTTCTGTAAATCAATGTTATCAAATCAGATTATTAAATCTCTCTCTCTCTCTCTCTCTCTCTCTCTCTCTCTCTCTCTCTCTCTCTCTCTCTCTCTCTCTCTCTCTCTCTCTCTCTCCTCTCTCTCTCTCTCTATCTTTCCTTCACTCTCTCTTTCCCTGACCCTCATTTTTTTTTTTCAAAATTTTACCCCCACCCCCCCAAAAAAAATCAACTCTTCCCAACACTTCTACCTTCCTTCCCTACCCCCCTCCCAATAATAAAATAATAATAATAATAATAATAATAAAAAAATCCACTCTTCCAACACCTACCTTCCTTCCCTACCCCCTTCCCCCCCCCAATAATAATAATAATAAAATAATAATAATAATAATAATAATAATAATAATAATAATATATAATAAATAATAATAATAATAATAAATAAAACAATAAATACATCAAACTAATAATAATAATAATAATAATAATAATAATAATAATAATAATAATATAATAATAATAATAATAATAATAATAATAATAATAACAACAACAACACAACAACAAAAAAATAATAATAAAACAAAATAAATACATCAAAACTAACCCGCGCTCTCCCATCTGGCGCCATGTCCGCTGCGGGCCGAATGTCGAGGAAATGCAAGGAATCCTTCGACACAGGCTGCCACTTGAAGCCAAGGACGAGTCTGGCGTCGGGTTCCTGCGGGAGGAAGAGGCGGTGATGAGGGAGGGGAGGGGGTTGGTAGAGAGGGGGGGGAGGGAGGGGGGAGGGGGCTGGGAGGGGGGGGGGAGAAGAGGCGGTGATGAGGGGGGGGAGGAAGAGAGGGGGCGGGAGGGGGAGGAAGAGGCGGTGATGAGGGGGGGAGAGGGGGAGGGGGGGGGAGAGGGGGTTAGGGAGGGAGGGGAGAAGAGAGGGGGAAGAGAGGGGGCTGGGGGGGGAGGAGAAGAGAGGGGGCTGGGAGGGGGGGGGAGAAGAGAGGGGGCTGGGAGGGGGGGGAAGCCTGCGGGAGGAAGAGGCGGTGATGAGGGGGGGAGGGGGGAGAGGAGAGGGGCTGGGAGAGGGGGCTGGAGGGGGGGAGAAGAGAGGGGGTGGGAGGGGGGAGGGAGAAGAGAGGGGGCTGGGAGGGAGGGGGGGAAGAGGCGGTGATGGGGGGGGGGGAGAAGAGAGGGGGGGAGAGGCCGGAGGGGGGGGAAGAAAAGAAGGGGGCTGGAGGGGGGGAGAAGAGAGGGGCTGGGAGGGGGGGGGGGGGAGAGGGGGAGGAGAGAAGAGGGGGGACTGGGAGGGGGGGGGGAGAAGAGAGGGGGCTGGAGGGGGGGAAGCCTGCGGGAGGTAAGAGGCGGTGATGAGGGGGGAGGGGGAGAGAGGAGAGGGGGCTGGAGGGGGCTGGGAGGGGGAGGGAAAAGAGAGGGAGGCGGGGGCGAGGAGGGAGAAAGAGAGGGGCTGAGAAGGGAGGGGGAGGAGAGGGGCTGGGGGAGGGGGAGAAGAGAGGGGGCTTGAAGGGGGGGGAGGAGAGGGGGCTAGGAGGGAGCGGGAGAAGAGAGGGGACGGGAGGGCGGGGGAGAGAAAGAGAGGGGGCTGGAGGGAGGAGAGGAGAGAGGGGGCTGGGAGGGGGGAGGAAGAAGAGAGGGGGCTGGAAGGAGTGGGAAGAAGGGGAAGGTCTGGAGGGATGGGAAAGAGGAGGGAAGAGAAGAAAAAAGGAGGGGAAGAACGAAAAAGGAATTGAGAGGGAGCAAGAACGATAGAGAAGAGGGGAAGGTGGGAGGGGAAAGAATGGATAGAGAAAGAGAGTGAGATAGTGTAGATGAGAAGAAAGTTCGATATGGAGAGAAGCAGGGAGGGAGGAGGGAGGAGGGAGAGAGAGTAGAAGATAAGAGAGAGAGAGAGAGAGACGAGAGAGAAGAGAGAGATAGATAATAGAGAGAGAGAGAGAGAAGAGAGAGAGAGAGATGAATAGAGAGGAGGAGACGAGAGAGAGAGAGGAGAGAGAGAGAGAGAGAGAAAGACAGCGACAAACACAGACAAAAAAAAAAGATCAGAATAAGAACAACAAAAATACGCACACACTGAAAACAAACATCACAATTATATATATATATATTATATATAATATATATATAATATATTAGAATATATTAGTATATTATATATATTATATATATAATAAATGTATATATATATATATATATATAATATATATATATATATATATATAATATACACACACCAGAAGAAGCAGATTATTAATAACCACACCACCACCACCAACAACAACAACAACAACAGCACCAAACACATTACCCACCCCCCCACGCCCCTCCCCCCACGCCCCTACCCAGAGCTAGCAAAGACGTCCACATCCTGGTCAAAGATGCTGTACCATCTGGTCGGCTGGATGCTGGAGGGTGTCGTCCCAGAGATACTGTTTGTCGTCTGTGTGACTCACCCCTTGAAATGAGAAGGAAAAGTTATGTGAGCATTCTTGAAAGTTATGTGATCATGTGTTGACTTGGTGTATGTGGGGATTGTGTGCCAATAATTGATAGATATGTGATCAATGTGGGGATTGTGTGATAATGATAGATATGTTGTTGATTTTGGATTGTGTTATGTTGGGATTGTATGCTGTTGTGAATACATCTTGGTTATAGTGGGGTGCTGGGATTGTGAAATAATTGATAGATATGTGATCATTGGCTGGTGTATGTGGGGGATTGTGTGAATAATTGATAGATATGTGATATGTGACTTGGTGTATGTGAGGGATTGTGTGATAATTGATAGATATGTGATCATGGGCTTGTTGTATGTGGTTATAGGAGTGTGATAAGTTGATAGTGATATGTGATCACTTGGTGTATGCGGGGATTGTGTGAATAATTGCGTGATCATGTGCTTAGGTTTGTATGGGGGGATTGTGTGATAATTGTTAGATATTGTGATCATGTGCTTGTGACGGGGGATTTGGGATTAATTGATAGATATGTGATAATGTGAACGTGGCGAATTGTGTGGAATAATTGATAGATATGTGATCTGTTATGTGGGGATGCGTAATAATTGATAGATATGTGATCAATGTGACTTGGTGTATGCGGGGATTGTTGTGAATAATTGAATAGATATGTGATCATGTGACTTGGTGTATGGGAGGGATTGTGTGAATAATTGATAGATATGTGGATCATTGTGCTGGTGTATGTGGGGCATTGTGTGAAATAATTGATAGATTATGTGTTCATGTGATGCTTAATGATAGATATGTGATCATTGACGTGGGGATTGTGTGAATAATTGATAGATATGTGATCATATGTGGGGATTTGTGAATAGATATGTGATATGAATCATGTGACTTGGTGTATGCGGGGGATTGTGTGAATTAGATTGATAGATTATGTGATCATGTGACTTGGTGTATGTGGGGATTGTGTGAATAATTGATAGATATGTGATCATGTGACTTGGTGTATGTGGGGGATTGTGTGAATAATTGATAGATATGTGATCATGTGACTTGGTGTATGTGGGGGATTGTGTGAATAATTGATAGATACGTAAATGGGTAAATACAACTGAGAAGATGAATTAAAATTTAGATATATAGGGGGATTAATACATGAAGAAACATACGCCCAGAAATGTAATCTGAGACCCACATTGTGTGAACACGCACAATGCACACACCATTACTCGAATATGCATTCCACGAACACACATGATGATGATAGTGGTGGTGGTGATGATAATGATGATGGTGATGATCATCATTACAGCTACTACTACTGTTATGCCCAAATATCACTAATAAAGATAATTATTAAAAGAAATTGACATTTTCGATCCCGCATTTATCATTATCATTATTATTATTATTCATTCATATTATCATTAGCATCGTCATTACTATTATTATTATTATTATCATTACTACTGCTATTATATTATTATTATTATTATTATCATTACTACTGCTATTATAGTATTAGTATTATTATTATTACTTTCATTTGTATTATTATCATTATTGTTATTATCATCATTATTATTATCATTACATCCACTGTTACTATTACCATCATTATTATTACTCATTATCATCGTTTTATTTATCATTATGATTATCATATCTATTCTCATCATTACCATTACTACTATTACCATTATCCTTATTATAATCATTATCAATGCCATTATCATTTTATCATTGCTTATCATCATGTCATCACCATCAATCATCTCAATCTCATCATTATCATTATCATCATCATCGTTTCCCCATCTCATCATCATCATCATCATTATCATTATTCTCTATTATCATCATTACTGATAATTATCATTATTATCATGATTGTCTCTTTTATTGTCGTTATTAACATTATTCATGATGTGTCTCTTTTAAATAATGTCGTTATTAACATTAT